TGTCATATTCGTGAAGTTGGACATTTTTCATGACCATTTGACTTAACAGGACGAATTTTAGTTTTGTGGTATGGCTACGACAGCAGCTTAAACATGACACTCCAAAAAGTGCACTTTTTTGAATATGCACCTAATTTCAAGTACGAAAAATATATTGTATCCAACTGATTTTGGTCTCTGGTGGACAGAGGGGTCCCGAATAATTCGTACACGGAGTATTGTGCATCAATTCGATCTTTTGGGTGGTCAAATAGTCGACTGTTTGATGGGCTTCTTTTTGCCATGTTTTGGGATTATAAGTTTCAGAGTTTTGGTCTCCATATTCCCGTGATGACTTTTGACAATCAAATGGTTGTGTACTATTCAGCATTGAAGGACCTTTCATCCTCTAAAGGCATGGTAGCAACATGACACATAACACTGTAAAATAATGAGGTCCGATTTTCCCTATCACTTCACAAACGAACAACTTTTGTTCGATTGTGTTCATGTTTGAAGACTCAGAGAGTCAACCAAGTTTTTGTTTCAGGTCCAAACTACTGGAATCATGTCTTGGCTTCTATTGCGATCGTAAAGACGTGTTTTTATTATCCTATGTCAAATTGGTTATGATTTTTTGGATGTGATTAAAATCAATCGATTTTTGAGCAACTGTGGGTTGACACGTAAAGATTTATTTTTTTCATGTTGTAATTCATGGAAGAACCAAATGATTGGAGTCTCTGTGATCCTTGGGCATACCACAATTTAACTGTAAAAGAAACTTCGATCCTAACTCAATCGGCACCAGAGTTTTTCTCGATGACATCAATTTTCGAAGGACCATCGCGCAATTGATCACTGTAGCGAGCACCATGACGATGGGATTCAGTGAACCAGTTGTATACAGTGGCAAGGCATGGTACTTCCTTCCCATACCCCGACTTGAGTCGGAAGTAATACTGTTGAGCAGGCAGCTCTTTTTGAAAACTTATGAGAAATAATCTTTTTTGTAAATTTAATTTTTTTGTGAAGTTGACCTTTTCCAACTGACACCGTGGCCATACCACAAAACTAAAATTCGTCCTGTTAAGTCAAATGGTCATGAAAAATGTCCAACTTTACGAATATGACAATGGTTTGCATCGGGCAATACTAAAACATACATATTGAAGAAACTTAAATAGTCGCCCTCGTAATAGATTTTTGATTAAAATTTGGATTATAATAAAGAGATTTGATATTGATCTTTCATAATTTACTTTTAAAAATGCAATTAAAATGAATTTTTAACTTTTAATTTCAATTCACCTCTCCGACATGTGTACTGTACTTCGATGCAGAATTTAATTGTGCTCCATTTCACATTTCTCAAAAGAAATATTTTCCAAAAATGTATTATTTTTTTCCATTTTTTCGTCGTAACATCGAAAATTCCAAATATTTAATTTTATTTATTTTCCCATAGTAAAATGGCAAAAATATTTTAAAAATGTTTTTCCACTGATTTGGTTTGAATTTCACAATGATCCAAATACATACATAACTGTCACATCTGTCAAATCAAAAGTGTTTCACTTGAAATGTTCGGCGCTTTATGCGGCTTTATGTGTCGGCAATTGGATTATTTATTCCGGAATAATATTACAGTGAAAAATGGAACATAAATATAATTGCTTTTCTTTATATTTTCAATATTTCTGTTCAATAACTAAATTAAAGTATCTACAATTCGCAGATATAATTTTTTTTTTCAAAGTAGTTATTTTTTCATACCAAAAAATGCATTTTACCGGCTCGTCTAAAAATGATATAGTTTAACTTTTGATGTAAAAAAGTGATAAAAATATAGAATTTTTTTTGAACGTAATTTTTGAAAGCAGGAATAGATTTTTGATGAATATTTGGATTATTATATATAGATTTGATATTGATAATTCATAATTTGTTTTTAAAAATGCAATTAAAACGAATTTTCGATTTTTAATTTCAATTCACCTATCGGTATTCCGACATTTGGTCGTGTGTCGACATTTGGCAATCTACTGTACTTATCGTAAAAAATGTAATAAAAAATCGCGTGCTGAGAAAAAATTAATATTTGTGTATTATACCCAGTGTATAATAATTATTGTTACTATTTTTCTCGGCACGCGATTTTTTATTACATTTTTTACGATAAGTATAGGAAATGCGTATTTGTTTCGAAGTTGCTATTTTATGCGTCGCCATCTATTGGTAAATAGTTGGAACTACTTTCTTACTAAAGTGTCATACAATTGCTAAGAGACCCTTTATTTTTTCAATGTATACAAATATTGCGATGATAAATGTAAATTGGGAAAACTTTAAATCGATTTTTCCCGCTTTTCCGATGGGAAATCGTGAAAAATAAGCAAAACTCACAACACCTGAGTGGTTCAATGGCCTAAAGTCCAAATCCAGCGGAATTCTGCTGATCCATGGATTCTCAGGATTTGACCTGGATTCCAGAACTTCCATAATGTGAAATAAATACAATTACACGAAGAATGGATTTTTTTTATAGAATACCTTAATGGAAGTTTTATAATTCAGGTCAAATCCTGAGAATTCATGGATCAGCCAAATTCCACCGGATTTGGACTTTAGGCTATTGTGAGAGTCAACATTTTGCTTATTTTTCACGATTTCCCATCGGAAAAGCGGGAAAAATCGATTTGAAGTTTTTCCAATTTACATTTATTATCGCAATATTTGTTTACATTCAGAAAATAAATTTCCATAAATTACGAACGAACGAACGTGTTCGTTGTTCGTTGTTCGTACGAACATACAAACGAACAATCCGAACAATTCATTTTCTACGAACGAACGAACGAACAAAATATACATTGAAAACGAACGAACAAATTATTTGATTGCTTTCTTTGGAAAATATGTAGCCCTTAATGAGACGAACATTTTTTGTTCACAGAGTGACCCTCTATCTATCACCCCTCTTTGGGTTATGAAAATGTCCCCAAATACATATCAATTTTTTTCGTAAAATATAAACTTTTCCTATTCATACGTAAAATATACGAAATAAAGTATATTCATTCGCATCAACATCTATGAAAATTCGTATATTTCATTCGAAGCCATTCGCGAATGCCGCATACTGATGTATGGAAAGCTAAAGGTAATTTTTCACGAGGAATCCGAATATGGGGTTATGGGGGGTCACTATGTGACCAAAAAATGTATATACAATACGCAACAGTTCTGGATGTACGATTGACGTTTAAATAAAATGTTGAAAAATGAGAGAAGTTTTGCCAACCACATAATGTTTATAACCTATAATCGTTGTAGAGAGAGCGTGATGAACATATATTTGCACATATAGCTGCCATGCTCTCGGTCATTTAGTCATTGTGACATTCATGTTTACATACAGACACGCGAAACTCTCACATCATCATTTAGTCTCTACGTGCGCACGCAGTTAGAACAAACGCAACCAGATGAACAACGACAAAGTCACTGTTTGTGTGCCGAGTGAGACCATTATTCCGAATGTGAACCAATACATATACACGCATGTTTAGCATGTCGCTTGTTTACTTTTTCATTGCTTTCTCATTAATGCGTCGCATAAAATAAGTAAATGTATTCAGGGCTGTATAATACAGTGAATCTAATTTTTTTGATAGACAAAATAACAAGCAAAGTAAGCAGAGAAACTCTCCACTAACATAAGATTCATATACGAATGGCGTGTGAGTGGAGTGTGTCATTTTTGTCTACCAAAAATATTAGATTCTTATTATCCAGTTCCTTTCAGGACTACATTTTCAAAATTGAATTGCATCTATTCATTTTGTCACTGTTGAAATAAAATATATTTAATTTTTTTGAATTGCTGGAATGTTGAGAATAAATTAAATAAAAATTGTAATACAAACGGTCTGTTTTTCTCGCTTTTCCGGTTTGAAAAACTACCAATCGATTTTTCTCGCTTTTCCGATGGAAATATCGAAAAAATAAAAAAAATTGGCTAGGCATATTACCCCCATATGTGTTCAACTTCCAGAATACTATGGACCAGGTTGGGTCCATCTGCTCCTCAAGATTCACTTCCACCCATGTTATCAATATATATCGGGAGATTTTTCTCACTTTTCCGTTGGATATATCGAAAAAATAAAAAAAAATTGCTGGGCATGTTACTTCCATATCTGCTCAACTTCCAGAATAAGTTTCAAGATTCATTTCCAGCCCATGTCATCAAAAATACTCCCGATCGATCTTTTTTGCATTTGGATATCATACTCCTATGACGATATTCGTGCTTCAAAACTCCTAACTGAACACATCGGAAATGCAAGAAAGATCGATGTTGAAATGTTATTAATATAATATAGGGCGTCAAGCTGTAGTTCACATTCGTATGATATGAGAGAGAGAGATGCGCTCACGAATACACATAAGCCTACATTCGGAATTTCGTAGTTGCGTGTGGCTTGTTTACATTTTTATTTGTTTATCATCACATGCTTCTTAATAGCATTGTAGAGTGAGTAGGATGACTACATTGGAATAGAAGCAATGTTGCCAACCAATTGTCTATCGTACATCCAGAAGTGTTGGGGACTGTACAACGACCGCCATTGGACTTACGTATTGAATGTGTATTTGCCAAGTGTGTCTGTCATTTTGTGTTGCGGTTTTAAAAGTTTTTGAGGTGTATCATTGTGCCATGTGTATCACTCTGCCTATTACCCCTACATGTTATTCAAAAAAAAACTAATCAATGTTTAACGCTATTGAGCTCGGAATCATTGAGTTTAATTGCTTTAAACACATCATGAAAAGAATGTTACACGATAATAAAAAGTCAATTATTAGGTTTGACCTCAATATTTCTAGCGATAGTGCGTGAAAAAATAAATATTGCGTTGAATCAATATATTTCAAGTAGACAGATTTGTCAAACACACAAAACGAAACTCGCCAATTGAAAAACATAGTTTCAATGCATTTCTCATGATTTCATATGAGTTTTATTGATTCCATGTATTTATTTCAAACATTGAAAGAAAGTAGCGCAGTAATTTGTGAACATCCCCTTGTTTTTACTTGAAATGATAATTGCATTTTCACACAGATGTGCGAGTTTTCATGTACACGTACACAAAAGTCGGTAAATAAGAGAATGGGTTAAATTACATGAGATAATATTGTTGTGAATATCAGATACGAATACTATTTGTAACTTGCATATATATTTTTTATTGTTTATTTATAAAAATATGACAAGTCATGGAGTAATGGCGTTAAAAGAGTTAATTTCTCAACTGCTTTAATTATATATATATGAGATTGAGACTGTTCGAATATATATTGTGGCACATGTTTATATTATAAAAAGAAGTATATCTTTATAATTTAAATAAAAATATATATTTTGAAAAATATTATTTTAAAAATAAAAATGCACAAAACAGAAAAAACACTTTAAAACTCAATATTCAAATGATTTCTGAAACAAGTTATAAATGGTATTCGTAAAAATTGTCGTTAGAAGTTAATAGAGTTCGATGAACTCGTTCGTTGGTAGTAGACAATTACTAAAATTCAACACAATATAAACTCATGTAATTGAACACAGCCTTTAAATTTTTTTTGTGTACATTTTTTTACACTATACATTTGCTATATTGTAATTTGACCTACAATTAATGATAAATACGATCAATTCGTTGCTGAATTATATATATATGTGTTTGTAACCTAAATTGCATTGAATTAATATTTTTACTCACTTTTTAAAACAATTTCGTCATTAAGAAGAATTATGTTCACCTATTGAAGTTGATCACATCAGTAAAGAACATATACAATGAATGGAAGAGTTTTGAATCACTGTTGTGATGAATATTTGTATTCGTCCTTAAGTGTAAACTAGATTCATCTCAATGAAACGGACCTCAGTTATCTCATCCTAATGAATACATGCATAAGTTCACAATAAAACGGACTTTTTCAGGACTGTCAAAAAACTCAAATGTAAATGTTAGAACTGGAGTGTGGTATTTAAAAAAATAAATCTTCCAAAAAAAATTTCCACATGAATATGGAGAGGAAGTATGGCCTGAATCTGATATTTTATTAATTAATTTATGAAGATGCCAAATGATGTGTTGTTGTTGCTGTTGTTGTTGTCGATACGTTTGATGGTTTTGCGGGAATTATGCTGGCGGTACGAGTTGCTGATGATTCGCGTGTAGCTGATGATTTGGGTGGTATAACTGGTTTATTTTTTGGTATTGGTGGTGGTATTCCACGTGCATTATTATTATTTACAGGATTTACATTTGCTTGAAGATTATTGTTCTATGTGTAATAATAAAAAAATCAATTTAGCACACAAGCCAACTAGTACAGTCGCTGGGCACGAACAGTCGGTTTTTCGTTCGTAAGTGGAAATAATACTTTTTTGTGGTCGGTCGGTCGTTCGTTTGTGCGATGGAATACCGAACACGTCCGCACGATCGGTTGTTCGGAGAAAAAAAATATATTTGCTCAAGATTTGGAAGTGAATTTTAAAACGTTTGAATTTATTGAATTTCAAATATATTGTTTTTTTTTTCCTCCGAACAACCGAACGTGCGGATGTGTTCGGTGTTCGATCATACAAACGAACGAACGCAGCGAACATTTAAATATTTTCGAACGACCGACCGACCATTAATAGCTTCAACGAACAAACGACCGATCACAAAAAAAGAAAAAAACGCACACGAACGACCGATCACAGTCGGACATTGATGTTCGTGCCCAGCTCTGAAGCCAACTTTCATAAAAGTATATCATATTAGCATCGACAAAAATGTGACATTATATTAGTACAATTCAAATATCGTTACTTGTGCAAAGAGAAAAAATCGGTGAATATTTACTGATTGCGTTAAATTGGGTTGATTGATTGGGTAACATGAGATAATTTTGGGTTTATTTTCAGTAATTCTCTTGTATTTTATCACAGTTAACGAACTTTCAAACGTCAAATCACGATCTAAGGTTCATCTTTTGAAATGAAAATTGTCAATGAAACACACATTTTTTGGTTCTATGCTCTGTCAAATTTTAATCACCGATTTTTTTTTAAATCTTCTTCTACGTTTTATTGTTGGATTGGTTTTTCAAAATTAAGCGAAATTTTAAATTTTAACGCAATACTTGCCAGAGCAAACATGTACAAGTATTTTCTTTTTATACCAATTTGACGTTTATAGCGTATGGTGAAATACAAGACAAATGTTTGAAACATTTTCTACTGAAAATCAATACATTATAGCTCATGTAATTTAGCGCAGTCAGTAAATACAAGGGTGATCGAAAAATACCTGGAAAATGAATGAGATCACATTTTTGCTAAGTTTCGATTTCATTCTTCAACATAATCGATGCACGGAGTTCAGCGACTTTCTAATCTCTAAAAGTTGCAGCTGTTGAAGGAGATCAACCTCAAAATATACATTGAATCCATATTTTACCGTACAGTTGCCATGTAGCAGCAGAAATATAGTCGAAAACACAATAAAAATATTTTTCACTTTATTTTGTGCAATATACCGAGTCTCCGAGAGTTTCATATAAGCCTGCCATGTAGCAGCAGAAATACAGTCGAAAACACAAAAAATATATTTTTTCACTTTTTTTGTGCATTGTATATACCGAGTCTCCGAGAGTTTCTTTTTCAGCAATAAATTTGATTCTAGTAACACCAATCGAAATATACTGATGAGAAACTATACTAATAACTATACTAATAAGATACATGCATCTTATTAGTCTTCTGAGTAGTAATATTCTAATAACTATACTTATTACTACTCTTATTACACTAATAAGATGATATCTTATTACCAGTTATTAGAAGTTATTAGTAATAAGTAATAACTATCTTACTAGTCTGATTTTATTAGTCCCAACTGTATTTTACCGCTTTACTCGAAAGGGAAACAATTATATTAAACTATTCTTCCACTTCGAGGCCTCACCAAGCCAAACCAGAAATAACAAAGCGATTCGTTATCAACGTCATCCAATATTGTTGTTGTTTGTATGGTTTCGACAGACACCTTTTTGTGAAAATTTTGAAACATATTTTTTTTGCTCAAGGCAGTATTTTTTTATCCAAAAAGTTTAAAAGTCACATAAAATAATATTTTGGTATCGTCCCAAGTTGGACTCCCAACTCGTTTTATATGATAAAACAATATTTTGAAAAACAGTCTCAAGAAATACGAGCTCAAACTCAATATTCGATTTTATGGCTTTTTGTTAAATAACTATTTCACCATCATTCTTGTGGTCTATTGTAAATTATTGACTCGGATATTGCAAACTCTTAAAGCAATGTCTTGGATTCTTTTTACCATTTCTTCAAAAAATATAAATATATATATATATTTGTTTACATGGTTATGTTTCAGAGTTAACTAAAAGTGATTATAGTCAACATAGTTGACAAAAGTCAATTTCATATACTTTTAGTTAACCGTAGTTAACTATGATCACAAACGACATTTCTCGGTGGGCGCTGGTGAAGCACTTTTTGTATGGGAATATTTGTTGAAAATTCAACAATACGCCACCTATTAAAGACAATAAAGATTTTCGTTGCTACTGCTGTCTTGACACAGCTCTAGCGAACTATATAGCTGTATTGCAAACGTATTAGTACTGACACCGATTCTGTGTATGCGTTTGTGTTGTAAATTTTGCACAAGCAGCTACGGTTGACGACTGAGTGCAGAATTTGCAATACAAACGGACACACAAAATCAGAGTCAGTGTGTTCTTTAGTAACAAAAATCTTTATGTATTTTAATAGATGTCGTATTCGTTGAATCTTCAACATAAAATCTTCGATACCAGCGCCCACCGACATTTCTCAACTCAAGTTACATGAAGACGCATATAGTCACTTATAGTTAACATCAGCCATTTTTGCCCCAAATTAGTCAATTTACCATTCATAAAAGAACTTTTTTCTATCTCTATAGAAGAAAGTCCAAACAATACCACCAAGTTTTTTGGATTTGTTGACGGATTTTTCATACAAAAATTGATATTTATATTCCATTTTTTCGCATTTCAAGAAAAAATGACTCGAGGTCGGTCTTTTCAAGTCTTGTAACTTGTAAACTAATGAACAAATTTTGACAGGTGTCTAATGAAGGATATTTCTTGTCAAAAATAATCGAATTTCAGCAAAAAAATTGTTCTCATTCATTTTTCACGTATTTTTCAATCACCATTATATTTACCGATTTCTTTTTCTATCTATGTGCTTTGATTTTTCCATACTCACAAACGACGTTGATGTTGAGGAAATTTGGGTATTTATGGATGCTGCAATTGCTGCGACGGTATTGCCGCTTTGCACTGTAGCCATTGGTAAATTTGCAGCAGGAGGAGTTTGATGTTCGACTACTTGCGCGGTCTAAAAAGAATGTACAAATGAATAAATTGACGAACGGAATTAATTATTAAATATTAAATTCACTTTGTTGCTGTATAGATGGGAATATCCAGCATCGTTGGATGTATTAGAAGAGTTTATTGTCGTTGGGTATTGAGGCTGTTGTCGAAGACTTTGTCCTGCAGGTATTGATCTGGCAATACCTGTAGCTGTAGTATTGAAATTAAATCATTGGTAATATAATTTTAAAAATTGTAATATATTCAAATGTTCATACTTGGACCTGAAAGAAAGAAAAAGAAAATAAATTTTTTTATAGAATTTTCGTGTATTTTTTTTCCAGAATTTTTGGAACAATTATTTGACAGCGATCAAAAACGATTTGACGTTTCTTATACAGATCGATTTCAAAACGTTTTCTCCAATTGGTTTCAGTTTTGAACAAAACTGAGCAAGCGGAACGTTCCGAAAATGGTTTGTATGGCGAACATATATTCACGCTATCTCAGCCGTTTTACATACAACGTTTACACGGTGTATTACAATGCGGTCACCTTGCGGCAGAGCTACGCGTCGGTCGTATATATTCTTTATGTATATAGCGATGACCATAGCTCTGCCGCATACAAGTGTGAGCGGGTCGAGTCTCGCATAGTATACATAAATAATACATACGACTGACGCGTAGCTCTGCCGCAAGGTGACCGCGTTGTAATACACCGTGTAAACGTTGTATGTAGAACGGCTGAGATGTATACGTGTGTAGCAATGCTTCGAATGTAAAAGTGCACAACGTTGCTACTATGCATAATGTACAGCGCGTCGCAGACTATGGTTCGCAATGGTAATCATTTTTTGAACGTTCTGCTTGCTCCGGTTTGCTCAGCAAGTGAAACCAAAAAATGGTCTGTTATTTAGAAGGTTTTTTATTTATACCGACCTGATACGGGTACACTCGATACGGTTGCTGTTGGTTGAACTACTTTGGTTACACTGCTTATCATCGGACTAGCTGAAGTGCTTGTATTGGCTGCAGCAGCTATTATGTTATTATTATTTGTTCACATTAATATGTGCACATTGTACAAGAAAATTTGAGTGAAATTAAACTCACCTATGCTTTCATCGAATGAGCCTTCCTGTGATGATAGACTGCTATTTCTAAGACTACCAATTTTGGCTGGAACTTGAGGCAAAGGTATATTTTTTGGGCCCAACCGATGTGGCATTGCTTGCTTACGGATCATATCATTTTCAGCTTTCAGTTGTGCTATTTCACATTCCTGCTCTTTCCGTCTAAGATGCCAATATCGAAAGAAAAATAAATAAGAAATTGTCAAAATCTTTGATATTTGATGGACTTTGCGGATAAAGAAGTTTTGTCGTTTTTTAAAAAACAAATTTAAAATAAGAAATTGTATGTTGGAAAATAAATGGAAGATCATACCGCTTCTCCTCTTTTGCCAACGTTGAATCAAGCAATTTCTTTTCAGCATTGTAGGCTTGCATTTGTTTCTCCAATTCGGCTTCCATACGTAATGATTTTTTGCTCTCCTCTTCTAATCCTTCTGCAATTGTGTCAACGCGTGCCTTTTCTTCGGATAATATTTGAGCTAAATCTTCCGATCGTTTACGCTCCTCAATATATTTTGTAATGATTTTTTTACGTTCGGCCAGCAATAATAGCACAATTTGCTTTTGTCGACTGCGCTCTTGTTCTAATTGTTTTAAATGAAAAAATTATTAAAACATTTCTAGAAGATTTTATAATAATTCATTCACCTAATGTCTCTTGTAGCTTTTTCAAATCTTTTTCGGCCTTTCGTCTAGCTGTCTTTTCACTGTCGAGCTCTTGACGCAATCTTGTGCGTTCAATTTCCAAGCCATATGTTATATCATCACCTTGTGCTGTATCGTGTTCATGTTTACGTTTCTCTTCTTCAAGTTCACGCATTAGACCTGACTGTCTCTGTTCGGTGTCTCTCATCATCGACATTAGTTTACAATGAATATTTCGCTGTTGGTGAATCGCTTCTTCGAGTATTTCAAGCTGATGGCTGGCAAACTGTCGAATTTCATTTTCCGATTGTATAGCTGCTGTTGATGATTGTTGACTCACATAGTTTCCGTTCAACGCCAATCCATCTCGAAATAATGCCGCTTTTGGATCATTTAGGTTCACTTGCTTATGCCGGGTAATGTTAATGAAGTTTTTCAATTTTTCCGACTGAAAAAATGAATCAACGATAAATAAATGTTAGAGTTTATCATACACAATTGCATTTTTTTTAGATTTACAAACCTTGTACCAGAGATACTTCTTTAGATTTATAGTTTAGTCACCAAAAACTTATCTCTAAGTATCTCTAACTTTTACAAAAAAAAATTACAATCGAGAAACATACCTTGAGCGCGGCAATTACAATATCTCGAGCCTGCAATTCTCCCTCCATGTAGCTTAGCATTTTCAATAGTTCAGATTGGCTTGGCTGCATCTTGGAATTTTTCTGATGTATTAAAAATTAATAAAACAAAGCTAAAGCCAGTGCTGTAAATAAAAAAACAATTGAAGAATTCAAAAAAAATATTACGCACTTTTGTTGTGTCATTAACTGCTTTCATAGTTTGAAAATCTATTTGATTAATATTTTGTGACAGTTCAGCAGCATCATCATCACAATCAATGCCAGATGCGACTCCAAATAGCTCGCCGATTGGCTGGGATTGCAAAACATACGGTTTTTTATCCATTTTTACTGATCATGTCACTCAACATGGATTCATCGTCGTTTTAATCAAATTGATTAGCTTGTTGTCATCTTATGTTTTACCTAGACATTAATTTATTTGATTAATTACTGTAAAAAAGAAAAATAGCCAATAAAAAAAAGAGTTTGGGGCTTTGTTCAAAATATTCATAAAATATTGTGTAACCATAAAAGTGTGTATTTTCGATGTAATTATTTACTGATTTAGAAATATATATATAAATATCTGATTGTCCGAGAATGAATATAAGACTTCTCCCAAGTTTTGTCAGACAGGACACAGGTTTTTCTATATCGCCGATCTACCTCAACAAGTAAACTATTAAATAGAATGAAGTCACGAAATTATTCCGTCTTATGTATGGTAAAAATTTCCTCTTTTTTACAGCACAACTTTACCTTGTTTGAGCTTTTCATGTTTTCGACTTCGAATATTTTGATACGGCACATATATTTGAATAATAACATTAGATGGAAATAGTTTAAAATGGATCAAAGTCAAAATAATTGCACTTCCACCCCACCAATGTTACAATGCAAGAAAATGTCACAAACAAGAAAATAGAATTGAAGAAACGATATGAGAGAATATTGGCATGGTGCAGGGAAGCACATATGATAGTTGGCACTTGACTAATTCATGTGCAGAGAAATTCCGCTTTGAAATCAATAAAATAACAGTGTTCGATTGTTTGGGACAAATCGTGTATGTGTGTTAGTGTATATGCTCTCTTTCGTAATAGTCAATATATATGACGATGTTATATGAGGTGAGAATGAGACAACTACACAAAGTTTTTCCATGAGGATATTCCGCACAGTATTTTCTTGGCGTTCGCTGTTATCGGTGACAGCTAGAGATATATACTATATTGTTATGTTCCAAAGAGTAAGCGCGAAAATCAGTGCTGCTCCGGTGGGTAGGAGCAAACTTATCTGTCATTGTGTTTGTGTGCAGAAAGTTGTACAGTTTTATATGTTCCCAAAGAAATTTACATATCATTTATCCCAAAGAAATTTACACATCTTATGAAACGAAAAGTTCAATGAATCTGAGTACGTTTTACTTTTGAAGTTAACCCACAAGTTTTTTTTAACACAGAACATTTTACCAAAGAGTAAGATTTATTGAAAAATCGTAACAAAATACGAAGAGATACATTTTTAGAAATATATTTGACCCTGACAATAACAAATCACACTATGAACCTTTTGCACACGTCCAATTAAAGAACTTTTTTACTTGGATTTTTACTATATTTAGTGAAAAATAATTATGAAAATCTAAAATAAAAATGTATCATCATTGAATGTCCGTTAATTTCGATACACTTGGGATACACAAAAATTCGATTATTTTTCGACAAACACTCTTCTGCTAGTTTGATGTAGGATCTCGATAATGTAAATTTATTGATCAATGCAAATCGATTTCATGTTTGATATCATAGTAGCTTGCTTTCGAATATTCAGGCATGTTGTTGTACCTTATTTATGACACACGAGTTAGTTTAATACGAATTCTGTACTTTTGTTATATTCTCAATGAAATAATGTAACTTATTGCGGCTTATTAAACGTTTCAAAACATATAATTTTCCATCTACCTTTATTTAAGTTGCACTGTATTTCATTTGAACTAGGCTTCTTTTCACTTTTCTGGGCTATTATTTAACTAGGAGTTTTTTCTAGTTTGGTTCAAAATGAATTTATGAACTGTTCGAATAAAATAGAATGTATTTGGTTGCTTGAAAAACACTATAAAATAAATATAATAAACTCCAGAGAAGCTTAAATTAACTTTTGAACCCAGCCAGATCTGAGACAATATGATGTCGAAAACAAACGCATTCGACATATATATTTAAATGTAAGGATACACCAAAGAATTACTAGTTATCTTTTTACTTCTCCCGAAACCACAATGAAACAACTCACTACACAATATAATTGTTTTCATAAATTTAACTTATTTGAACAGAATGCATAAATATTTAATTATAATTTATTGCTTCTGAATGTTTTTTCTAATACCAGAAGAAGCAGGAGAAAAAACAACAATACACGAAAACATTTTAACACCCTTACCATTAGAACCCGTAAAAATTCCGCGACTCACTTTCCAACGATAGCAAATAATTATAATGGAAATTCACATCAACTTTTGAATAAAATAATATTGGCAGTAGAAGTCTGCAAAAAAAAAAACACGACTCTCTTTCAAGTTAAACGAAAGTACTGCTTAAAAATTATCTTCTGCGTGTGTGACGGATGGGATTTTCTGTGTGGCACAGTAAAAAAAAGTTGGTCACAGACAAAAAGAGAGTGTGATGTCTAAATATAAAACTATTTGACAATTTTCATAGCTTAGTTGTTAGATTGGCATCAAGATGTCTCTCAATCTCGTTCTAATGGTCTTCTTATTCGGGTTTAAAATTCGGTTTTTATTCATTTAAATAAATAGCTTGAAAAAATTGAAAATCAAATTTGAATTTTTTTTCATACAAAACACATTTTTATATAAAATATCTCAAACCAGAAAAATCCATTTTATTTATGTACCGTGTAAACAAAGTATTGCCAGTGTCAAGTCAGAGTGCACCGCTTGGAAATTGTCTCGGTTGCCACTGTCAACAAGAAGATATTTGTACGTTTGCGACTATAGACCATTTATACAAATACAAAATATGCATCATCACCATAACCTTTAAATTGTTTCAGTGTATATTGTTCCAGCAATTCATCAGAAGTGTTTTTTCTTCAAAAGTACATTAAATTTTGGGTATTTTCTTAAAAAATTAAACCATCAATTTATAACTGGTCATATTTTTTCAATTTGCTTTTTTCGGTAAGTCGATTATAGTTTTTTGATTTTAATTTGTTAATTTAATATTCTGTTCAAGATCAAATTGAATTGGGATTTATGATTGATATAAATATTTTTTAAAGAATTAAATAAAAATCTTATTAGGATATAATAATAGTAGCATTCTTACATTTTTTCCAATTCCCTTTTTACATTTTGAATTTAAAAAAAATTGGAGGTAAGTGTAAGACTTAAATATGTCGGCAAACAGCGAAAATAGTAAGGATAAAGTGGAAGATTCAGTCGCAGCTGAAAAAGCGGCAAACGATATCAACAAAGAAGATGAAAAAGCGGATTTGGTAAATAGTTTTTAATCAATGATTGTTTATTATTTTTATACAGTTTTCAAAACGAAATCGTACAAAAAACTGAAACAAAAAACGTATATTTTAGTCGGATGAAGATAAGCAGTTGCAGGAGGAGTTAAAAATGTTAGTGGAGCGATTGCAAGAGACTAAATCTGAATTGTATTTGCCAGCATTAGAAACGATGCGAAGCTTAATACGAGCATCGACAACCTCAATGACATCGGTGCCAAAACCATTAAAATTCATGCGACCACATTATGAAACTATGAAAGAAGTTTATAAACACATGCCAGATACAGTAACACGTCAAACGTGTGCCGATATTATCTCAGTGCTGGCAATGACCATGGGAACAGGTAAGGAACAGTAAAATAATCACACGAAAAATACGTTTTCTATTAAATTTCATTTCTTTTATCATTACTATTCTTATATGTAATCTATCTTCCCTTAGGAAAGGAATGTTTAGTGTATCGATTCTTATGTGATCAAAATGATCGCATAGGTGACTGGGGTCACGAGTATGTTCGTCATTTATCTGGTCAAATATCAACGCATTGGAATGAAACATCAGGCAATTTTCGAAATCGATTGATTGATTTGGTCAAACAAATCGTTCCATACAATATGGCCCATAATGCTGAAGCTGAAGCATGTGATTCACTCATCGAAATTGAACGTCTTGATTTGTTGGAAGATTATGTTGATGATAGCTCATATGAACGCGTTTGTTTGTATCTTCAGGGTTGTGTTCCCTATGTTGCAGATCCGGAAAATGTGACTCTATTGCGTACTGCACTGAATTTGTCACGCAAATTTAATCAGCATACACAAGCCATGCGTTTAGCATTAATGCTTAATGATATGTCACTAATTCGACAAATTTTCACCGAGTGTAAAGATTCGGCAATTCAAAAACAGCTGGCTTATATGTTGGGCCGCCAACAAATTTGCTTGGAAATCCGAGAAAATGGCGATGGCAGTACTGATGATGAAGAGCTCGTAGAAATTATGTCCAATTCACATCTAAATACACACTTTTTGAATTTGGCCAGAGAATTGGACATCATGGAACCGAAAACGCCAGAAGATGTCTACAAATCACATTTAGAAAATTCACGCACCACATTCGGTTCATCACAAGTCGATTCAGCACGACAAAACCTTGCGGCAAGCTTTGTCAATGGATTTGTCAATGCTGGTTTTGGCCAGGATAAATTATTGATGGAAGATGGTAATAAATGGTTGTACAAGAATAAAGAGCATGGAATGATGAGTGCAACTGCATCACTTGGTTTAATTTTGCTATGGGATGTTGACGGTGGTTTGACACCAATCGATAAATATTTGTATTCAGCCGAGGATCATATTAAATCGGGTGCTTTGCTTGCTTGCGGTATTGTTAACTGTGGCGTTCGTAATGAGGTCGATCCAGCACTGGCCTTACTCACCGACTATGTTCATCATACAAATAGTACAATGCGTATCGGTGCTATTTTAGGATTGGGGTTGGCTTACGCTGGATCAAATCGTTCAGCTGTTATTGAACTCTTGACACCAGTTCTTGCGGGTACACGAAATTGATACTATTACTATGCAAAGTTTGGCAACGCTATGCATGCAATGTTATAATATTCAACCAATATAGAAGACACCACCTGAAATATACTCAAAATTGTTATTGAACTGGTTATCAGCTTAGTTTGAGTATGGAATGGCCTAGGTGGCGTCTTCCATATTGGTCGAAAATAAATCAGATCAGTTACTTATATTGTTACTATGTTCAGAAATATGTGGAATATAATTTTCTGTTTTACTTTTGTAGGTGAAAAGAAAGTTGCTCCAACTCCAGAAGTGTTGGGAATCACTGCCCTTTCACTTGGGATGATTGCAGTTGGTTCTTGTAATGCTGAGGTAACAAACACGCTGTTGCAAGTTATTATGGAACGAAGCGTGGCTGAACTGAAGGACACCTATGCCAGATTTTTACCACTTGGTTTGGGTTTAGTGTATTTGGCACGCCAAGAAGCAGCTGAAGCTGTTATTGCCGCCCTCGAGGTCATTTCAGAGCCATTCCGATCAATGGCAACAACAATGGTGGAAATCTGTGCATATGCTGGCACTGGAAACGTTCTTAAAGTCCAACAATTGCTTCACATTTGTTCCGAACATTATGAAAGTTGTAGCGAAAAATCCGATGATTCGAAGGAAAGAAGTAAGGACAAGGACAAAGATAAGGAAGCTGCTGCTCAAAAGGAAAAAGAAGATCGTGAAAAAGATCTGTCATCAACACAGGCGATCGCTGTTATTGGCATTGCATTAATTGCAATGGGTGAAGAAATTGGCGCTGAAATGGCATTCCGTTCATTTGGAAACCTACTTCGCTATTGTGAACCGGTCATTCGTCGATCCGTTCCGCTTGCTCTTGGTTTGCTATCTGTTTCAAATCCAAAACTAAATATTCTCGACACATTGAGCAAGTTCTCACATGATAGTGATGCCGAAGTGGCCCATAATTCAATCTTTGCAATGGGTTTAGTTGGAGCTGGTACAAATAATGCACGTTTGGCATCAATGTTGCGACAATTGGCACAATATCATGCAAAAGATCCAAATAACTTATTTATGGTGCGTATTGCACAAGGCCTTACACATCTTGGTAAAGGAACACTAACTCTCAGTCCATACCATAGTGATCGTCAGTTAATGTGTCCCGTTGCGGTTGCCGGTTTACTGGCAACACTTGTCTCATTTTTAGATGTTAAAAACAGTAAGTTTCCTATTTGTTCTCGAATCTATTATTTTACTGAGTTTTGTGTCTTTTTATTTTTTTTTGAAAGTAATATTGGGCCGTTCGCATTACTTGTTGTACACTTTGGCTACAGCCATGCAACCGCGAATGTTGATCACATTCGATGAGGACTTGAATCCGTTGACTGTGCCCGTTCGTGTTGGTATTGCTGTCGATGTTGTTGGTCAAGCCGGTAAACCAAAAACAATCACCGGATTTCAAACTCACACTACACCCGTTTTATTGGCAATGGGGGAACGCGCCGAACTTGCGACTGAAGAATATATTTCGTTAACCCCAATTATGGAAGGATTCGTTATCCTTCGCAAAAATCCAAACTACACTGCATAAATAACATGATAACATCTAATGAATTGAATCACTGTTCTAATTATGTTATTTCATGCATTAAATAATCGTCTTTCTCTTTTTTGACATATAAAATAAACTTTAAGTTGTTCACTCAAGAAAAACAAAATAAAAATAAAACACAAACATTTAATTAAAGAATGTAATTTTCTTCATTTTTTTGCGAAAAATTTTGGATTCCATGATCAATAAAAAAATCGGGGTTGTTTTTATTCAAAGATTTAATCACGGTTTTGCATGACTTTCTATGACTGGCATTATTTGCTTTCTTTAGTTATTTATTTATTAATGATTCATTCCAGAATATACTGAATAATCTATAGCATTTTATAATTTTATGAATTTGTTAGGAATAAATTATTATTGTTCCATTAACATTAAAATGTTATTAAAATTACATAAAAAAAGTCGATTTTGGTATGTTTTTCATCAGTTTCGGCAGATAATTGCAGTTGACAGACGATCAAATTACTTCCATACACCAATTATTTCCGTACCTTTTGACGAGCGAGTGACATTTCTTTTAACTTTTGTTCAAGTCGGGCGTGTGCATCTTTTTGTTCGTTACGACGTAGAGCGGCCGGGAGTGTTGGTCGTGGTTTTAGGAATTCATTTCGCTGCTCCTTTTTAATTGCGCCGCCACAACCATGAACCTGAGATAAATGCAATAGGTTATTACTAAAAGAGAAAAAAACATTTTGTGCACAATTTGTGATACAAACTTCAGGAAGTTGGTGCTTCAAACAAAAACGTTGTTGACAAAGTGTACAATCCTGACCAATTATCGATGTTTTCGTTCGACAACGTCCAAAATCACAAATATTATCCAGTTGACGAACCGTTTTTAAGACCTCATCTAGGTTTGTATTCACCTTATTGTTAGAAATGGTTTCAAGCATTTCACTGGTTTTGTTAACTTTTTTTGCGGGTTTTGACGAAATTCTAACCGCTAGATTTGCATTTTTTGTTATCGCTGTCGCCGCAACTGACGAACTTTCATGTTTGGTATTGTTATACACTTTTTTGTCAGTATCCTTTGTAATCACAGCAAATTTGGTAGTACTCTCGGTACTTGTGTCATTTGACGCGGTAGTATTCAATGTTGTTTTGTTGAGTTTTTTCTTTTTTGGTTCTTCGGCTATCAAGAATACACAATATAGACATTGAATTAAACTTTATATAAAATGAAAAATTGCAATCAATTGATAATGTTTCGATTTTTATTTCAATGAAAGGCACTTAAAAAGAAAAAAATATATTAATGTTTACCCATTTTTGCTATGTTATATCCTGATTAAAAATAATGAAAAAATTTGATTACAACAATGTTGATTATTTATATTGTGTTTTCGGGATCTCTACTCTAAGATTCTGTTCTTTTCATTGGTGAATTGCAATAGAATTACTTTCTTGCTGAATGACAGGTATTGTTATTGTTATATTTTCAAGAAATGTTAATTCAAGAGGTCGCTTGAAAAATATTCTAATGTATATTTACATCAACATTCATATTTTCATCTGTAATACCGAATTAATTTATTTATTAAAGAATCATTTTCATTTTAATTGAGTAAATGTATAAATTAATCACATAAAATTGTGATATCAAGCAAAACTCAAAATGATGAATAGACAATTTCACAGAAAGTTTAATAAATTTATCGATATGTATTGTCAAATTCAACACTGATTACAGTGTATTACACTGATAGAACAGCACCAACTTCACATTTGTGAAAGTATTGAATATTGAATCCAATCAGAGCGAAGCGTCTCAAATGAAAACCATTCGCTGTCAAACTTATTTAGATCGTAGAATGCATGTGCATATCATATGTATGTACGTATGTATGTACGCATGTATGTATACATGTATGTATGTATGTATGTATGTATGTATATTGTGCATTTTTTAGTAATTGTATAGTTGGTAAAGCTCAAAACATTTGTGTAATGTTTGTTTTATATCAAATTTGTT